CGGCCTTTGGGGGGAGGCCCAGCTGGTGGGGCGGGGTGCAGCAGCCCAGAGAGCAGGCGCGGGAGCTGGGGAGAGGAGCAGAGCAGTAGCGAGCGGGGCCTGGTGAGAAGGGGACAGGGGCGGGACGTGGCGAGGAGGGGGCGTGGTGTCGAAGAGAAGGCGTCCATGAAGGGGCGGAGCCAGGTCTTAGGGGCGTGAACAAACAAGCAGGGCGTGATGCGGCCGCAGGAGAGGACCTGGTCTGGACAGAGAGGTGGGACGTGGTAGCGAGAGGAGGCGTGGTCAGGTAAGAAGAACCGGGCCCAGAGAGGGGGTGGGGCCAGCTTTGGGGGGCGTGACCGGGCAAGTGGGGCGAAAAGTGACACTAAGAGAGAGTCAGAGTCGGAAAGAGGGTCCAGAGAGGGCGTGGCCAGGAGAAAAGAGCGGAACCCGGAGGGCGGAGCCAGGTTTCAGTGGCGAGGCCTGTCATGCGGGGCTAGAGCTTCTGCTGGAGAGCGTGGGACCTGGAGAGAGGCGCGGGACGAGCGAGGGTTGCAAGAAAGGAGAATGGGGAGGAGCAGAGTGGGTACCACGGACCGGAGCTGGCGGGTCTGAGGGCAGGCTTTGCAGGAACAGGCTGCAGGATTGAGCTGGGCAAGCGGGGGCGGTACCAGGAGAGGAGTTGTACTTGGGGACTTCCAGAAGGAAGGACTCCAGACTAGGCCCTAGCCTAAAAGCCAGAAGGGAGCTTCTCTACCTCTGCGCCTACTAGATCGCACACTTACCTGCCCCTGCTCCACCGCTGCTGTCTCTGACTAGGGGCTCCTCTCTAGAGGCAGTTCAGAGCCTAGTGTGTCTCTCAGAATGCATATAATAAATAATGCCAGCCAGGAAAAAACTTCAAAGCGTCATCACCTGAGACCCCTGGGGCCCATTCTTTGATAGGTTTTATAATGCCTGGCAACTGGGACACTGGGGACCGTATACCACACGAAAGGAAATTATAATTATAGCGTTTGCAAGAAGGGAACACTTGCTATCTTTTTAGATTCTGTTCCAGGATGCCCTTGATCTGCTAACTTGTCTTCCTACTCACCCCTGGTTGGTGCCCAAGGTTATCGGGGACAAAAAGGGCAGAAATGGCTTTGGCTGACACTGTTGTGAGCTGGGCGCTGGGTGCTCTTTATACATGCCTTTTCCTTCTTAGGAAGTATTGAAATTCTTCAAAATGCCAGCAGCCACTCTCTCCGATGTGCCATCATTCTCTTGTTACTGGAAGTCCCCTTGCCCAAGGGTGATTTTATTCCAGCTCTTGTTTATTCCAGCTCTTGTTTATTCCTTCCCCAGCTGCAAGGAGTCTAGTAGCATTTTAAGCATCTGTCCATGCAGAGCTTCCTTGGGCTGACCTACGGATGTCATTGGTCCTATTTGATTCACAGGCACTGTTGGATTTTTTGGAAAGTTGAAATAACCATACAAGATGTCTACAAGGGAATGCTGGTGTGGGCATCTGGGGCAAGGAAAGAAAAACAGTGAGACTGGACAAGAGAAGTGTGTTGCATTCCCGACAAGGACCTCAGCTAGACCCACACAGAGTTTAAAAGTCGGTGTGTGAGCCAGACTTCATACTTCACTTAAGCTAGTCATCTGCTCTCTTTAGCTTGTGGAGGCTGATGGCTGAGAGTGGTCTGCAGGCAGCATTTTCAGCAGTCACATCCTTCAGTTGTCGCATCTACCACGTAGCAAACAGTCTTTCCTCTGAAGAACTCTGGGGATGCTGGTCCATTCTAACCTATGAACAACCACTCCTGAGTTCCTTCCATCAAAGTAGCTGGCCATCTTTGCTCTGATACCTTAGATATTCTGCTGGCCTTTGTATTCTTCTGAGTTGAAGGATTACATATTAATTTCTCCAGGTAGTACCATGACATTTCTCAGGGAACACATGTCCTCTACCATAGTGCCCAAAGAATTCCCTACAGTCTCAAGTCCTTTTTAGTTGCTAATTTCTGATGCCAGTTTCTGTCAACATAGACCAGAGATTTAAGAGCCAGTCTCTAGATTTCTTTTCTTTTTCCTTCCTTCCTTTCCTTTTTTACTTAAGACAGGGTCTCCTGTAGCCCAGTCTGGGCTCAATCTTTCTTTGTAGCTAAGGATGACCTTAAACTTTGGATCCTCCTGCCTCCACCTCTGAGGTGCTGCGATCACAGCTATGTTCCACTGTCCTGACCTGCAGGACATCAACCTGGGGCAAGAGAGTCAGGGATAGGGAATGGGGACAAGAGACGCAGAAAGAACGACCACAAGACAGGATTCTGATCAAGTGACAAACTTTACCTTTCTCAGGCTATCTTATATAGTCAGGATATGGGGAGGGGCAGAATGGGTTGTTTGTGCACCAGGTGTTGGTATAGGCAGGATATTAGGAAGCCACAAATAGGATGTCTGGCAGGGTAAAGAGTTTATGAGTAAGAGGTCCAGGGAGGGTTGCCTAGGTGACTGAGCCTGTGGGTGGAGGACTGGGTCAAGTTGTTTCTTTTCTTGAGCTGAGGTTCTAAGGAGCTGCTGTGTAAAGGTTAACAATGTGGCCTTTCAAGCATTGCCTAGGATCTCATGCTAAGCCCTGAGATTTGTCTCCCAACACGCCACCATGATTGCTTTTATGCAGGGCTGGGGATCGAACCCAGTGCTTTACAGATGCTGGGCAGACACAAATGATTCGTCCCACATCCCCGTTCCACTCTCTAGATAACTGACTGATGGGTGTGCCTGCATACTAGTCATCACCACCCTCTCCAAAAAATGAGAGAAAAGAGCTACACCAATTGATGACACTGTGGGAGTTTAGATCCTGCTAAGAGCCGCAGATCAACCAATCCCTCCTTTGCCTTCATCTGTTTGGTGACATCATCCTGATTGACATGTATTTCACTTTCTGCCACTAGCATGGCTGCTGTTTCCTTGTGGTACTCTCTGCTAACTCCTGTTATTTCTTCAGAATGAGGCTTCCTTCTCTGACATGTATCCAGAATGCTGGATGAGCATATCTGTTGAACATTCACCTCTCCCAACAGTTTCAACAATCATTGCACACCCTGTGCGAGTACCATTTTCCTAACTTCATTCTGTATCAGTTGCATCTACATTTGTGACAATAATCTCCCATTGTCAACTTGACAGGATTCTGAATCACCTAGGAGGCACATGCATGTCTCTGAGTGCATTTTCCAGAGGTTTAACTGACAACCAGTGAATGTGGGCAACTACCATTCTGCCAGCTGGGTCCCAGAATGAGTACATAGGAGAAAGCACCTGGACCATCAGGCTTCATCTCTCTCTGTTTCCTAGCTGTGGATGTAATGTGAATAGCCTTCTTACCTTCCTGCTATGAGGGACCATACCCTCAACTGTGTGCACAAATAAACCCATCCTTCCTTCCTTCCTTCCTTCCTTCCTTCCTTCCTTTCCTCCCTCCCTCCCCTCCTTAAGTTACTTTTTGTCAGGTATATTGTCACGGCAATGAGAGAAGTAATACAACATTTTGCTAAAAAGAAGGGATTTTTTGTAATTTTTGGTTATTATTGTTGCCATACCACCTGTTATTGGCTCTCCCCTGAGCACATAAAGTAGTGCAAATAACTGATGATCTGAAAAGACCTATTGTGACTTCAGGTCTCAAGGAGCTCATGGACTAGACTAGATGTCACTACACTCTTTAAATACCATCAAATGGTTTTGTAGATTCTTCAAACACAAATCTGGGTTTGCTGAGACCCTGATGCTGTCTGCATCTATAGAGACAATGCAAAGACATCGCCTTTCTCATTGAGCAACTATACAGACATTCATGTTGACCTTGGATAAGCACAGATCAATGTCAAAGTGGCCAAACCAAGTGAGTAAGCCCAAAGGTGACCATGTATAGGGGGCTGGCAGGGACCTGGTATGATAGGGTAGGAGATTTCCACCATGTTTATTAATCCTAAAGAATGACAAAATCTAGTCTAATCTCAATTTCATAACTGACCATAATTTCTGCATTGACCATAAAGATATAGTGAGGAGTAAGATCTCTGGCAGGTGGCCTCTGACTGATTACAGATAGATGATTTGGGGATAGAGAAATGGCAAAGGCCCTCACTGTTGAGAATGATGGCCTGAGTTCCATTCTTGATACTCACATCATAGAGGTAGAGAATGAATTCCTGAAAGTTGTTCCCCAGCTTACAAACGCATGCCACATTGTAATTTAAAAAGACAAGCATATGAGGGAGTACTTCTTGACATAGGGTCTCCTTTTGTAGCCAAACCTGGTCTTTGGTTCACTTCCTCCATGCCACACTTCCAGTGTGCTTAGATTGCAGATATGCATCACCATACCTGCCTTGACTACAAGCATTGTTAATATTTCCCCCATTGAAAGATACAGTCTAAGACAAGAAGGGGCTATGTGTGTGGGACCAAGCGCCAAAGAGGAATGTAAGGCCTTTGTTAAAAAATCATGAAGAATTTCGAGCAACAACATCAGAGTGTTAACTCCAAAGTGTAGCCTGTTGAGTGTGGGGCCCTGGAGGGCAGCATATGGGAGTCTCCAGGGGGTCATACGAGACTGCCACTGCTTTGACCTAATATACTGTAGCAGAAGTGACATTGTTATAGTTTCTAAAATGAGTCCCTGAGAGAATGGCCACTTCATTTATAGTATCCTGGAACTCTCTGTGAGTCTATCAACAAAGACTGCCACACTGGTGAGTTCATGTGCTGGTGACAGTTTCAGCTGGGCTCAGGCTTCCAGCCATCCTTCCCAAGTCACACGTGATAAAGCCATCTCTCCCGTTTTAAGCAGCCCACTTGGTATCTGGGTGCCAAGTGACTTCAGCAGACCCCACAATGAGCAGGGCTACTGAGCAACCTAGGAAGTCAGGAATATAATGAAACTACTCTTCCTTCCAGCCATTAACTCTTGGAAGAATTCGTTCTCACACTGGAAGAAGAAGAAAATGCTTTCATTTGATTGCCATAGCATGTCAAATCAACAAACAGTGATGCTGCTTTTCAAAACATGACTCAGAAAAAATGACACTGTGTACCTGGTTCCCCATTCTGAATTTTGAAATTACTTGGGATAGCTGGGCATTGTGACTTAGGACTGAAGTCCCAGCACTAAGGAGGCCAAGGTGGGAAGATTGCCATGAGTTCCAGGCCAGCCTGAATATAGTGCAAGACTAACACACACACACACACACACACACACACACACACACACACGGGAGAGGAGGAGAGAGAGGAGGGAGGAAAAGGAACAGA